TTTCTCTGTTGTGATTGAAAAATTACGGGTATGTAAGATTTGTGTATTAATAGTTTTGTAAGGCCGACACATGAGAGGGTACAACACCCAAACAATTGAACAAACCACCAAACATACATAATATTCCAAACATACATTTTCTTAATGAAACAAAGCACAGGTACACATTGTCGACGGGACGACTACATCTTAGGACAATCAGGAACATGCAGATCCATACAGGTACATGACGGAAACAAAGTACAAACATATTAAAGCGCCATTAAACAACCCAACAACGACAACTAACATACTGATACACCACCGAAACAAGAACAAACATAGAAGGGAAATGGGAAGTGACGAAGTTAATTCCACGGCCAATCAAAAGCGCAATCCATAGGAGTGGCAGAACAGGCAGTAGATATAGAATTTTCTTCCGTTTCATGTGCAACATGAGAGGAGATGTCGTTGTTGGGCTGATTCACAGAGCCATCAGTTGAACCGGTTTGACTGTGTATGGATTGCTTCTTTTTTGGGCCCTTCGAACTGCTACCCATAAAAAAGGCTGGACGCGGTGGTTGTTTCTTAGCTCTCTGTGGGAAGTCATTTCGAACGGGGTAGGGAACTAACCTACTCGGTGGCAGACGGTTTGGAGGGTAATCTTCCACATCGATAACTTCAACACCTTTGCCACGGCCCCTGCTGTCCTTCTTCTTGCCTTCGTCGTCGCTGTCAGAAATGATACACCACTGCAAAGGATTCACGTACGGTGGCTCTTCGTAAAACAACTCCACAAGCTTGTTATGATGTGGATCACCTTCCGTCATGTACGCCAGGGAAAAATCATCCCACTACGGGAAAAAAAGAACAAAATTTAGTTTGCAACACTAGTTTTGGTGTAAGAAATGAAAATGCAATTATTTTCGACAAAACTCACCCTTAACATTTCATCCCAAGTGTTGCCCGAAGCATTGTACTTGTTCAGGCCGACATCGTATTGAACACCAGCCTTGTCTTTCAGAGCCGTGAAAACATCATGGCGTTTCTCCAAAACTCCAACTCGTATTCCGATGTACTCCATCGTGAAACTCTTGCCAAACCACGCATTGAATGCTCGCGTAGCACCAAGAATGGACTCAGTATTATCGCCATTAGGAACAAATATACCACATAGTTTATCTTCAAGTAAGTAGTCGATAAGAAAGTCATCAAACTTTGGTGTCCAATTTAGGTCGTACAGATAATCTGCCTGCACTAAACCCAAATTAGGAGCCATCGCAATTTTGTGAAGTATAAAATTTGTATGTTTTAATAAAAGTTCAATAATATTTCACTACTTCTTTCTACGGTTGATGAATACATGGTCTCAATTATGGGGTTTAAATAGCAAAATTTTCCTGCCCTAAGATCAATAATGCATTCAAAGGTGTAAGGCAAGATTTATGGTCTTCATGTAAGTGATGTCTATTCAATTCAGCTTTGCGTACTTAGCTTATAGCTACCTCTAGACCTGTAGTGACTTGTCATAATCTGTCTCTTGAAATCTGTTTTTTTTTTTACCAAAAAGATGACGAAACAATGTCTTTGATGGTCTGTAAAGTGATGTGCGCATGCTATTCCTACAGTACCAATATTGCAGATAAATTTAATGCCACATGACCAATAATGCAAGTAATTTAGTAGTTGATAAGGACCTATCAGCTCAACTTCGAAAAAAAGCAAAAACGCAGCCATAGAACTGTAATATCGTAGCAGAAAAGATAAACAATGGTGTACACATGGATTGTATTATTGTAGCAGATGTTATCATAGCATGTCATTTTTACTGTGAGAGGTCATAAAAAGTCCTTTACGCATGCTATTCAACACAATAGATTTATATTACTGTATATGTTCAGATAATTTAAATACTTGTCACTTTTACACATACATTCTACAACAAATTTTTTTTGGTCAATTTTACAAGCTGTAACATATCTTCTTTAGCGTGCCAAATTAGATATGCATAAATCTCAATGATACGGGTGACATTTGTTTTGGGCATCCCATACTTGTACACATGAAGGTGAACATGCTCGTAAAGTCCTTTATTAGTCAAATCAACTCAGCCATACCCAAAAGCAAGCTTCAGCAGACCTGCCACCATGACTTGTCATAGCACGTCACATGAAAACACATAATTGGCATAGAAATCAAAGTGCACTGTTTACCCGTTACTAATGCTTCAATGTAATGACCATCTGTCAGAATGATAGAAAATAGTTGTTTAAAAAACATATTATGTTTTACAAAACTAATATAGAATACATATCAACGTCATCATGTTTAATACTAAAATAGAGTACATATCAACGTCATCATGTTTAATGCTAAACAACCTTACTTAAAGAAACAAAAGAGTAAAACAGCAAAGACGATTAACCAAAAGGTACATTTCTTCATGAATGTGACCTTCTTCCCCAACTCTTGAGCTTCACGTACAACTTGATCAAGCCTGGACTGTAGTTCAACTTTTTCTGTTGCTGCAATCTCCAAATCAGTCATAATCCGAATCTTCGCATCTTCCACTGCTTTGATCTCGGTGGCTTTTAAGTCCAACCTCTCCGATAGCAATTTCTCCATCACATTTTTGCACATTAGCTGCTCTTGCAACCTATCCTTTTCAGCCTTTAGCTTGTTGAAACAACCCTTTTGGAAAGGCGGCAACTCGGGGTCAATCCACTCAAAAAGGCGACAAGGAGGATCGGGCTGTCAACAATGAAATTAAATCCGAGAATAAAACTTCATGTACAGATATAAAAAAAAATTAAATTAAACCATACATTAAACCATAATTTAAACTTTATAAACCATACATAAAAAAATTTAATGTACAGATATAAACTATAAACCATACACTGAACCATACATAAAATTTCACTTAACACATTAAACCATACATTAAGCTTCATATACAGATATTTACTCAAAAAGGCGACAAGGAGGTTCGGGCTGTCAACAATGAAATTAAATCCGAGAATAAAACTTCATGTACAGATATAAATTTGTTCACATTAAACCATACATTAAACCATATATTAAACTTTATAAACCATAGCTGTTTAAAAAATTTAATGTACAGATATAAACCATGCACAGAACCATACATTAAATTTCATTTAACACATTAAACCATACATTAAACTTCATGTACAGATATAAACCAGTGAACTATAAAAATTTTACCTTCCGGCGAGGACATTTAAAGAACCTTCGGGCTGGGTTTTCAGGGGTCATTGATGTCAACACATCGGCTTCTTCATCGTGTTCACACAGCCTAACACCAAACGGGGTAGAGCCCCTGCTATATCGGTTGGTTGAACTCGTGTGAGAAGTATTTGACATGTTGCTTGCCTGAAGAGAAGAATAGGATAATACTGATCAAGGCGCAACTAATCCACCTGTTAAAAATATTTGTTGGTACAGATTGGAGAACAAACTGGCAACAAACTGAACGTGAAAGCTAATCAAACTTAATATTTCTGTAAGAACTAATAGATAGTTCATGTTCTAAACCCTAAATCCACATTCTTCATCAAAATAAACCCACAGTTCAGATTACAAATTACCCCCTCAACAACATGACTATCATTTCTCTTGTCCTAAACTTCACTCAATCCCATATGATGTGATAAACATATTCAGCAACAACAACAACAAAATAATCGCGAAAAGAATACATTTACAACAAGGCTCATAACATTTCCTCCCGCAACGATAAATGCACGGTTACTAATATCCAAGGCAGATAAGGCCGCAAGCTAACTTTTAACATGCTCCGAACAGATTAGAAATGGGAAGCAGACTGATCAAAATCAGCAAACGCAAGTGAATTAAACAGAACTAATACAATTCAAACAATTCAAGACAGAAACAATCCAATTCAAACAGAACCAATGGAACAGCACCGAAGATCATTTTTTTCCTAGCACCAAACACACTCAAAATAACTACGAACTCGAATTCAGATGCATCCAATTCAAAATGAGAACCGCAAGAAGAAATCAAAACAAATTCAGTTACCCATCACTTTTTTAGATCCACCCACAAGTTCTACAACATAATACATCCACAACTTCAAATATAAGCTGGGAAAGGAAGAACACAAGCCTAGTCGACCTAGAACACAGCATCAGTTCAAGAAAATTTAGACGAATAAAGTTGACGCGTTGAAATTCGAGGAATTAGGGCAGCTGAAGAAAAAATCCAAGATAGCTTCAGTTCAAGAGAAGATCCAAGAGGTCTTCATCATAAATGATATAATTGGTAAAAATGTCGATCAAAAAACGAACGGAAAAAGCCGTACCCAAAAATGAACGGAAATATTGCCTCTCGTCGGGAGTGATGTCGCCCCTACCCAATTGAATGCCGAGGAAGAAGAGAATCGCAGGGCTATCAGATGGACGTCGTCAACCCTCGAAGTAAAGCAACTGTCTTTGATCGTCGGGAGTGATGTCGCCGCTCGTCTCTCGTCGAATTAGGGCAAACCGATGGTTGAATGCCTCTCGTCGAATTAGGGCAACCGAATAAGGAATCACAGGGGTACTCATGTCTTTGTAGGTTTTTATGACTTTGATTAATCCATCAAAGTAAAGAAGGGATATTTTAGACAAAATCCATACCCAAAAGTAAACATGGGATTAAATGCTGACGTGGAAAGTAGGGGGGATTAATTTGTGTTATCCCATCCCTTGAAGTAAACGATGCCTCAATGTTTAATTTCATCCTACAATACCTCAAAATTTGTTACATTATTAT